CTTTTCACTCCGTAATCACGTGACTATGAAACTGCTCTTTATCCGCTCCAACTTCATTTTGCCAAGCTTTTGCACTCGATAAAAAAAGATTGGGCACGGAGGCGGCTCCACCCAGCTCCAGGATAGTTTACAGTTATACATAATACATAAGTAGTAGAAGATGCTTTTAATCTGCCCGCCCATGGATACGAGTAGCCGAACACGTGAATTTTTGTTCGCTCATAAACACATGAAATTAGCTAAGGCTGGAATCAGGGTTCTGGACCGGAACGATATTGAACCAAAAACCGGGACGGAACCGTTTTTTTTTGCGGACCGGAACGAGACACATATTTCATAAGGTCTGTTCCAACACGTCAAAAACCGTCCCATGAACGGTCTCGATACCACTCAGTGAACGAGTTTCGGTTTCTACGCACAAATTTTACGCTTTGCGCAGAATCGTGACGGTACATTGAACGGTTTCCTGGGGTGCGTTCAAACACGGCAATGCTAAGGCCAAAACCTACTTTTCCCCCTCCGCCGGTAATGCCGAACCACGTAGGTCGGAGCCGAACTCGAACGCAAAATGCTAATTTTGGCTTGGCTGTAGCCATTCCTGAACGCAGCCCTGCTGTGTTGGAACAAACCTATAGAAATGGTAGGCGGACAGAACCGGAACTGATATAAATTAATCGGTTCTTACCGGTATTTTTCGGTTTCAAGCATTGACTTCACAGATTGAGTTTCAAGAAATCAAATAAAATCTGTTTTTTTTTTAAAGATAAAAGTCAAACTGACATTATGTTGGCAATACATAAAATTGTCAATGCTTCAAATTTTTTATGTAGAAAAGGCTTGTGTTGCCAACATAGTTACTAAATTTTTGACTTGGGGAATTATCTTTAAAAAAAAAACAGACTTTAAATTAGGCTCTTTGCTGTTTGGTCGTATCGTAATTATAGTCCTTGAGATAGGAACTGTTCAGTGGAGTGGAGTCATTTTGTTTGTCTAGCATTTTGTGGGCTAAATGTGGCTAGTTAGCTGATGAGAATAGGGTGATTTTAATGCCTGCCACTCGTTCGAACATTTTGAGAAAAAAAATCATTTATTCAGGTACCTAAAGTATGTTTTTTCTTTAAAGATAATTCCCCAAGTCAAAAATTTAGTAACTTTGTTGGCAACACAAGCCTTTTCTACAAGAATCGTAAACTCTACATAAAAACATCGAAGATGGCGGTATGCGAATGACGCCACGCAGTCCTTGATCAGTTTGTGATTTATTATGACAGTGCACTTTCCTTGCATTTTCAAACGTGAAAAATTGTTATTTTGAGGTTATTGCCTTTGAAAACTGTATTTTGGAATTAATTAATTAATTTTAAAATTAGCAGACTTCAAAAGTTTGTGTCCTTGAAGCTTGAGTGGTTGGCTAATTAGAAAGACGAGTTTGTTTGTTTTTGTTTATCAATTTTGCTATAGTGTGTTTTATTTTTTACTGCCCCTACCTATAACTTCTCAATTATTATTCAATAGTTTAATAGGTACTAGAACGATTTAATATGGACATTCAAAGTAAGCTTATATTTCACAAAGCCGAATAGTGATACCTAATTTAGATTTTCATAATCATATTCCAGAAAAACACTGCAAGTTTCCGATATTTTCCATGCGTTTTCATAGTAAACGCGCCAGTAAAGGAATTTATTTACATATTTATTTATTCACTCTTCACAAACACTAATTTTTAGTAATTACATGCAAAGGAAACTTACAACTAAGTAGATATTTGATTTACAAAAAAAAGCAATACAAATGCTTGACTAGGAAATACTAACAGTAGAAAACTAACAATACACACGAATAAAAGAAAGCGACGTCCTGATACAACAATTAATCCAGTATACCTACTATAAAACCACTAAAACCAGAAAATGCTTGGGGTTTTCCCGAGTATTTTCAACCACGAGTCTTTTATGCTTACACACATTAAATGAAACTCTAAATTACACTTATAACACTTGATAAATCCGAATTTACGATAAAATATTTGTTAGCACAAACTGAACATCATTCGTATCAGCGGCCATCTTGAAGATTCGAGATGCACGTGACGTCACAGCAATTGTGAACAAATTTAGCCGATTGAGCAATCCTGTAGAGTTTACGATTCTTGCCTTTTCTACATGAAAAATTTGAAAGCATTGACAATTTTACATTGTATTGCCAACCTAATGTCAGTTTGACTTTTATCTTAAAAAAAAAACGCACTTTACCTTATGAAGTTTTTTTTTTTTTTTAATGATCTCAAATTGGCAAGCTTTTGAATAAAAGATTGACATTAGTTGAATTCCTTTCACACATGAACCGCGTGTGGCTAAACTCAGCTGGTGTAGGCACCATGGTGGAATGGTAGAACAAGCAGTGTTGTTAAATTAACCAGGGTTTGACAAACTGTGGTTTGGCATTGGCATTAGTGAATTTTAATCACCGCATCCGTGGCGGTGCACCATTTTGGTGGATTTAGCAACACGCGGGAAGTGCTTTCTTTTCAGAGCTTTGAAACCCCAGGCTTCGACGTCCTGAGTGGGACGCGTCAGCACACGCTCTGAAAAGAACGGTAATTAAGGGGATCATTTAACTGACGGACAGGGACACGAACTGTAGAGCTTCGACGCCTCGCTGAGGTGTTAGCGGTGGGGATAGACGACCCCGGGGCTTGACGACCAGATTAAGGGTGGGTATTATAAAACTACTTTGAGAGTTAACTTAAAGTTAACTTCTGGAATTCCATGTAATTCAAAAAGTTAACTTCAATCAAGTTAACTGTCAAAGCAGTTTTATAATACCCACCCTAAAAGGAACAGTTGTTTACATTTCTAAATCGTGATCCAGGGCGTCCTGGGACGCCCAAGCTCCTGAATAGAAAGCAGCTCTAGGAGGAGCTCCGAGGCGTCATGCGCTTATTCCTTTCGAAAAGTGTTTGTTACACTTGAAGTTGTCAAGTCCGAACTCAAACCATTTTAAAGCCTAGTACTCATAACTGCGAAATTCGCACTTTTTTGACATTGCTTCGACAATTTGACGTTTGATTCACGCATATAACGTCAATTTGTCAAAAAAGTACTAGGCTTAATAATTGCATGGAAGCCAGACCGTGTTCCTTCCAAATCGGGATCGACTAACACCGGAGCTAGTAGCTCTAGTGTTCTGAACTCTTGCAAGGACTACAACTCTATTGATAAATAATTCTCCCATAAAAAATGCTTTTCAATGGCTGAAAAGGTGGGGATGGATGTCCACTTGCAAGAGAAAAGTATAGAACTTTCCGCATTCACTTTCTGTCTGGCAATCGAGAGAATTAAAGGTTTTGTTTGTGAAAATATCGCTGGAAAATCGCCAGAAGGTAGGTAATCACATTTTGAAATCGAGCAAATCCGCAAAGCTTTCTATGGACATTTCGAACAGGGAGTAGGCATTAAAACCACTTATATTCTCATCAGTTAACTAGCCACATTCAGCCATCAAAATGCCAGACAAAAAAAAATGATTCCACTAAACAGACCCTATCTCAGGGTCTATTAATTCAATACTCTATTAATAACAGATGAGCGTTGGCAAGCGCGCATTTCTTAATTCTGTTAAAATGTCATTTTGACTTCTATCGTTAAAAAAAAAACAGATTTTATTTAATTTTGATTAACACAGGCAAAAAGGAAGATGCAAACGAGATCTAAACAAGGGTTGTTTTAGAATGGTTAATAATTAACTAAAGCCAAATATGCATAAAGCAAAAATCAGCGCAATCGTAGCGCGCTGCAAGCATTCTACATCAACGCGAGAAACGACACGCTGTCTACGTCATCACTAGTACTTTGGCGTGGTGGGGGGTTTGAGATAGTTATTTATTTTATCCCATTTTGACGTTTAAAAATGACATTATTGAACGCATAACAATAAAGGTAAGTAGATGTTTATCACCTCAGTGATTTAAAGATTTTTTAACTCACCCTCGGCATTTTAAGTAACTCTGCACAATTAAAACTTGGACACCTCAGTGATTTAAAATATTTTCAACTCACTCTCGGCATTTTTCCTTGTTCTTTATTTTCTAAATTTCCACAAAATGGGATAAAATTTTGTATACATCAAGTGAGTTAATATGTTTACTCATTCGAAGAAAATTAACCCACTCCCTAGGGCTCGTGGGTTAAACTTTCTTCTCATGAATAAACATTCATTTAACTCACTTGGTGTATAAATAACTATTTATAACAATAATTTTTAATATTTATTTAAAAGTCTATTTAAATGGCAATAGAGAACCACTCATCTACAGTTTGTTTTTTGAACATTTGCGTGTGTCATAATACGTGACCAGTATTTTAACCTCATAGGAATATGCGTAGTGGGTGTCACTGATGACGCACCAGGCGAAGTTAAAAAATACAAACTGTAATAAACTGATCGGGAACACAAAAGCTTATCTCTATAATCTTTATATCAATAATAATAATTAATATTAAAATTGTTGCAGATAGGCAGAGAAATCCAATGAAAAATAAACCACAAATTACAGAAACATAATTTTTCTGTTAGATTATGAAAAACTATACCGGTATGAACCGTTAAAACCGGAATTGGTCCGAATCGAAATATTTCTCTTAGAACCGGAACAGTAACGGAAAACGGAACCGATATCTGTCAGACCGGCATCGGAACGGAACCGATATTTCATTTCGGTCCGGGTCCCTGGCTGGAACACAAATTATTGCACTGCACTCTCAAAATGCGCACTAGTGCAGGTAGTCGATTACTCTGCTCCACGATTTTTCAAGAGTCAGAGTGGAGTAGTGGAGAGTGGCAAGTGGACACACTTCCGCAAACAAGTTGTGCATTTCATTTCATATTTCAGTTAAGTGCGTTCGTATTCTCTATTCTCATTCTCTCGAAGTCCAGAGCGTGAGGAGCTCGAGCTTCTTGAGCAGAAGAGGTCAGCTCAAGTCAGCTGATCAGCTGTGTCATCGGGCATTGCATACCGAGCTTGAAATAAATTTTGATCGGAATTCGGCTCGAAGGAGAATAGGAATGGTTTTTAAAATAATTTCGAGCGCACGGAGCGGACAGCATAGATCAAATAAACGAACGCAACTAGTGCAATCTGCACTAGACTTCGAGTAACCGAATACTTTTTCTTTTGTTTACCTTTGATCTGACAACAGTCAAAAACCACAACCTAAAATTTTATTTGAATTTTGAATTATGTTTTTGTTTGAATATCTCCATAGTTTTTTTTAAATATTTAGTTAGCTTGAATTATTCTAATTAATAATATTTGTGTTATCTATTGCTAATCGCCTTTTCCATTCAATAAGATGAATTCCGATGAAAATTTTGCTGCTATTAGAGAGAAAATCGTAAGTTCAGTTTATCCTTTGAAAAGGCAGTTAAATTTTGAATTTTCTTCGAATATATTTCAGAAATCCTTGCCCTGCAGTCCACAAGTTGTTGATGATGTTAGAGAAATCTTAGGCTATCTTACTTCCCTCGAGTTTTCTAGAACCAACACTTTATTCAGGGAACTGTTTCAAAAGATCTGTGATAAATTCACAAATGTGAGTATTCAAGGTATAAAATTAGAAATATCAGCCATATAAACAAATCAGATATTTCATTGTTTATTATGTCTGCTTATACCCTGGCTTATAGGTACCTTTATTTTCAAAGAAAAACACCCAGTCTTCCTCCACAAGTATATCTTTACTGGAATCAAAAAGCCCTACCAGTTTTGAAACTAGAAAGTTTCATCTTCAAATAGTCAAAAAAAGGTGCATAGTCAAATAAACTGCCGGAGTTAGCTGTAAAGAAAGAAAGAAAACTACATTTTAGAAAAAAATGAAATAAATGAAATTTTAATAAAAATTTGTAAAAAACAACAGCCAAGTTAAGAGGAGTGTAAATTCAAAGACTTACCATTGTGTGGTGAAATTTTTTCAAAAAGTTGGAAAGTAATTAAAAAAGATTTTTGAATAAATAAATTTTGAATAAATAAATTAATTTAAATTAATTTAAGTAATTAAAAAGATTTTTGAATAATTATACAAAAATCTTTTTAATTACTTTTCAACTTTTTGAAAAAATTTCTCCACACAATGGTAAGTTATATTACACTCCTCTAAACTTCATTATCTGGCCATTGTTTTTTACAAATTGGTATTAATTTTTCATTTATTTAATTTTTTCTAAAATGTAGTTTTCTTTCTTTCTTTAATTAATTTAAATTAAATTAATTAATTTAAATTAATTTATTTATTCAAAAATCTTTTTAATTACTTTTCAACTTTTTGTAAAAATTTCTCCACACAATGGTAGTTATATTACACTCCTCTAAACTTCATTATCTGGCCATTGTTTTTTACAAATTTGTATTAATTTTTCATTTATTTAATTTTTTCTAAAATGTAGTTTTCTTTCTTTCTTTAATTAATTTAAATTAAATTAATTAATTTAAATTAAATTAATTAATTTAAATTAAATTAATTAATTTAAATTAAATTAATTAATTTAAATTAATTTATTTATTCAAAAATCTTTTTAATTACTTTTCAACTTTTTGAAAAAATTTCTCCACACAATGGTAAGTCTTTGATTTTATACTCCTCTAAACTTCATTATCTGGCTGTTGTTTTTTACAAATTTTTATTAATTTTTCATTTTTTTCTAAAACGTTTTCTTTCTTTACAGCTAACTCCGGCGGTTTATTTGACTATGCACCTTTTTTTGACTATCTGAGCTGATTTAAATTATTTTTTTTTTGCCCCTGAAAATAAAACTTTCTAGTTCCGAAACTGGTAGGGCTTTTTGATTCCAATAAAGATATACATACTTGTGAAGGAAGACTGGGTGTTTTTCTTTGAAATTAAATTTCAACTCCACTTTGAGTAATGGACTCGGTCATGGACTACTTTTTCAATTTATACCTTTATACCTATGACCTACCTACCTACACAATAAGAATCAAACTAACTGGGTAATGATGATGTTGAATGTCCAACTAATCTAGCATAGTATGAGTACAAGAGGCATGGAACTGTAATTAATTGGATCATTCTATCAAGGGCTAAGTGAGCATACAATTTGAATCTGCAAATGGAAAGTGATATTAATATAGCTAATAGATTCAATTCTTTGTTGGGAGTATTGCAAATACCGACCTAAATTTTTAAAATCTGGGTTAGATACTTTTACTTGGCCTTAAGCTGACAACATTGCTGAAGAGATAAAGCATACATATTTCATGGTCTTTGGAATTATAAGTTAACAGTCCATTTTAACTGAAAAGAGCTGGCACATATGCATTCCTAAAACAATATAAGATCGAGCATGATAACAAAACCGTCATAATAATTAGCTGAATAGTTAGTTTTGCAATATATCATGTTGATTTTTAACAAATATAATTCCTTCATATTCAAGTTTGTATTATTCAATGTATAATAAAACTTATCAAACGATTGAACTTTCATTTGCTATACCTACCTAATGGCCGATATTTTTATCATAGCTACTGAATTATCAATAGTAATATAACTAAGTGGTGCAATGGAAATTATTGATAATTTTTCAGTTAAAAACGCATGAGTGCAAATTTGTCGAAAATTATAAATATATTTCCATTGCACGAGCTGTATTTAATGAGAGAATTTCATAAATCAAAAATTTAAATTTTTTGTCAAAAAATGTCAAAACACCAGTTACTATGCAATTATCTGATAATTTGCACTAGTGCAAATTATCGCTTAATTGAAATCTGATTGGTTCAAATCAACAATCAAAACCTGTCAATTTATTGTGGGAATACCAGTTTTGGCAGATGTATGAAATTCTCATAGAAATATCCTTTCTCTTTCCAAAATAAACCCGAGTTGTGTCATCCGGATACAGCTTCACAACGCAACCCCCTCCAAATTCATTCTGGCAAGTGGATTGATATCGAGGGGTCAACCACTATGCTTGCAGATGTACAATGATTTCCATATTTGTCAATCACAGATCAGTGAATCTCATGTATTCCCATCCCAAGATTTGCGACTAATTGCCAATGATTTTCAGATATTTTTGTATGATTACCAGGTGATTTCCATTTTCTGGGTATTCCTATATCATTCCCAATTGATTACCTGATTTCCTCAACAATTCCCTACATTCATCTGATTTCCAGCTGATTTTATTACGAAAACGATGTCTAATTATTGTTAAGCTTTGCGTTGATATGAGCAAAATAACCAGTCTTTTCTATTATAAAAACACGTTTCCACTGAAAAATTTTCATCTTCTGTATTTGCAACTCTTCCAAAAGTTAGTAACTTTTATTCTCATTCATTATTTTCATTAACTAACCAAAACTAACCCATACCGATTTTGTTGTAGGTATACTTACCTAAATAGTTGTTGACTCCTAGATACTATTATGTGTCTACACTGCATAATATGGATCTGAAATAATGGATATTTTTTTTTGGATTTCAATAGGATGTTCCGAGGGATGTTCACTTAAATCAGAGACATCTTCAGTTAGGGTTTCACTCGACCAAATTATTTCTGATCCTGATTCAGATGTGCTATCATCTCTGCTTCTCGCCCTGCCTATTATTTATTCTACTTTCACTTTTCAAGTTCTTATTACCTTGGATTTCCGACTTTTTCTTTTGTGTCTTTCTCAGGGACATTCCCATAGCTCTTAATACTCGATCGACAAACATCCCTGCTTCCCCTGAAAAGAACCAAATTAAAGTTGAGCCCTGAGTAATCTCTTAATTGTAGCGAATCGCAATTGTAAACCCTGATATGTGAAGAAATTCTGTGTCTTCTTTTGGCAAGTCAGCTTCGAGAGAGATTTCAAGATTCATATTTTCATTTGTATGATCTACAACATTGTCATACTTTAGGTCTGTTCTCACAGAAATCACAAACCAGTCGGAGCAAATTCCACTCGGAATTCCATTGGTTGAAAATAGTCAGAAAACTGGTTGTTGGCGATTTGCACCAATCAAAAACGCTCTGACTGGTTTGTGATTTCTGTGAGAACAGACCTGAAATTCATCTCATTCTTCTTCTTCTTCAAGTTATAAACTCTTCGTAGTCTGGGATTCAGTTAATGACTCAGTTAATGGGAAACTCGTTGGTATATCAAATACATTTCAAATTGTGTAGCACTCAATGTTGCCTAAAACTTAGTCTTAAAGGCAAATACACAACTGACAGGTACGCTGCATCGCTTATAATGTATGATATGCGATTTCTGGGTTAAAATGAGATGATATTCCCAGCGATTACCACATGATTCTCAGCGATTGCCAATGGATTCCTATGTGATTTCCATGGAGTCCAAGGAGATTCCTAGCGATTCCTCAGTTATTCCCAGGAACTCCCAAGTGATTTCCATATATGTATTCCTGATTGATTACTATGTTGTTCCCAAAAAAATTTACAACTAGTGGTTTACCCCTCGATTTATATAAATGAGAAATAGAGTTAGATATCTAGCACTGAGCCCTGGGGGACCTCTCAAGTCTTGTTAGAACTTGAACAGATGCCATAGATAACTGTAAAACCTGTCATATGCAACTTTCCTTATAGAAAGAACAGATCTCAAATTCTTAACAATTAACATTCTTAACAATTAACATCCCTAACTTTAACGGACTAACACCTCAAACTGGGCCTCAAATTTTGTTTGGATTCAAGTTTCCTATAATAATTTCTGAGAAGTCACAGGGTTGAAGAAAAAAAGAATTGTACCCCAGTTTGAACATCCTGTCACAGAACATCTGGTATCCTCAATGCCAAGTCCTTGTCTTGGTCCTCATCAACACCCACTCCACAAAAAAATTATCAAAACGGCTCACTCAGCTAACTTTGTATCTTTTTTAATTGCGCCTATTACGTCCATTACAGTATGTATCATCAACCCACAGAAATCAAATAATTGCTTCCTTCTGGACACCCAAGTTCACTCCTGAGTCCTGAGTCATGAAAATTCATCAGGAAATGAGTGGTCTAAGTGATGGATTATCTGACTTTCATGTTGGCTTGATTACATTTCAAGATTTATATCTATAGACTCCATACAAATCGCTGTAGGCTGTTTCCAGTTTGTCTTCATTGAGCAACTTTATGTTTATGTCTCCCAAAATCTTGGAGCTCCTTTCCTTGTTATTTTGTGATAGAATATCATTTTCCAACAATTTAGGGATGCCGAGAAGAAAGCAATATCATCATAATTGGGAGGCATTTAAATGATATGCAGCATGTAGCTGGATACGCAAGACAGACACTTCTGACTTATCCCTTCCACCAATCCTGTAAGTGAAGGAGCTCTCAACAAATACACACATTTCCCTACATTTTTTTTCTATTTGCATATGTAGCTCAATGCTAAATAACCAGGAATGCCAAAAAATTGCTCCTCCTCCGGTCGGAGCTTCTCTGCTAGGGCAACTATATGTGTATTTTTTGGGAAAATTGCCAAAATGACAACTCTAGCTGGAAAAGTTTATTTCTAATGGATCTGGCAATGTTTATTTCTAATGGATCTGGCATTCAAAGTTTCTCTCAAGATGAATTTGCAGCATTGAAATTACATTTGAAGAAATCAATTTTTGGTAGCACTCCAGGCATTTGTGCAATATTTTCAATTTTAATAATATCTGAGTTATGTTTTTCTGTAACCAGTATTATTTCGCATTTACACCATACAAATTGGTATTCATTGTCTCTTAGCCTAAGCGCTTTAAAGAAGCACCTCCACATCTTGAGGCAAGTCCTCATTAATAAATTATTTTCTGATTGGGCCCTGATAGACCACATTCTGCAGACTTTATAACTTCTCTAGCCTCTCATTTTTCCAAAAATTTGTTCCGATCTTCCTCTTCTTTGAATGATCACAGTACAAGCTTATCAGGTTGCCGACTTGCCAGAATTTTTACCATATAATTTTCCTGAGATATGGCTGCACCCAAAGTATGGTTTGACCATTTGGAACTCCGGATAAAAAAAATTGCAATCGATAATACCCATTTGAATGCAGTGCAGTCAGTGTGGAAATTGAGGTGTCTCGTACTCCCTCATCATTGTCAGAACCTATACCTAATCTGATGGAAATGACATGGGGGTTCTGTAAATCTTATTAGCACATTAGTTTGGAGCGTGGTTGATAGCATTTTAAAGTTATGACTTTCCATCCGTGACAAAATTATTGTCAGACAGTCAGAACATCTATTTTCCCAAATATTGGAAAACTTACTCAAGCTTGGTAAATCTGCTTCTAAATCAGATTCACCTTCATTAAACCAAAAACTAAATTGGCTAATAGATGAACCAAAGCAGAACATGATCTCGACCACCAAACTTAAACATATTAGAACAAAATTTAGGTATCATGCTTGTTCTTAGTTAAGAAATTGTCACATAAAATATATTTTAATCCTGTAATTTTAAGCTAAGTTTATTTCTTAGTTTGAATTAATCTTTAAATGGAAGGTATAAAGCGGGCATTAGTCTCATCAATGGTTTTAATTGAGAATTGTATTATTTTTCATTTTTAGATTTTCTCAGAGAACCTCGATATGTTTGAAACGTCAGAAGATGATTTTGTGAAAGTAATAATAAAATTAAACTATGGAACTGTTTTGCAAGTAACTGAAGTCATACTAGAAATGTTGGATTTAGTGTCCAGAAATGCCCCAGTGGAACTCTTACACATTGAACCTATAGTAGTATATGTACCGAGCCTCGTCCAAATGTACTCTTTTCATTTAAATAACTGCCCAGAATTGCATATGGAAACTTTTATACATGAAATAACGGAAATTACGGAAGCCATAAAGCATCTTTATGGCATCTATTTACATTTGCTGGAATTTTCTATTACAATTTCCAGTGAAAATGAAATTCTAAGTGCGGTTTTGATGGCTTTATGCCAAATGCCTAAAGATTTTTCCAAGATTGATCCGAAATGCATACTTTCATGTTGGAAATGCTTTAATGTTCTTACCAACAGATATAAAGCTTATATAGGGCATTTCGATTTTTCAGTTGTGGTCAAGTTGATAAATGAGTTTGTTTGTGATTTATTAGAGAATATGAATACGATTTCAGAAAAACAATCGAAAGTTATAAATTTTATTATAAAAATATTGTTCATTAATATTCAAAGAAATTTTTATGATAAGTTAAGTGAATTTGTAAAAGATTTGCTAATTTTTTACATAAAAATGTATAAGTTTATTAACTCAGAAGTACTCAATGAAATCTTCAAGCAAATAGAAGGATATCTTGGGGATTTACTAGCAGAAAAACCACATGTATTTAAGGTAAACATTGCAAAGAAACTCTACATGTTAAGTTATAAAATATTTAATTTTTTATAGCAAGCCATTGAGAATTTGAAAATAGAAGATATGGATGATTGTCCAATAGGAAGTTTGAGATTCCTCAATAGGATTTTGCAACTAATCAATGGGGTATCTTTTAATTGGCCAATTATCGCCTTGATAAATTACATTTTTGATGTGCTGCCTTTATGTAAGTAATTTACATTTCAGTAAGATTTGATTATATAAGAAATAGATAATTTTTTGCATACCTGTACAGACATATGTTTTACTAAAGTAACCATCACAATATAACAATACATTTACTTAGTTCATTTTAATATCACAATGTTTCATTCCAACAACTTTTTCATCTAGCCCGGTCTTCTAGGAAATAATGAATGATCATCTTAGTTTTTGAATTCTTGAATCCTTAAGACTATGAGTGCACCATTTGCACGAATTGACGATGTGCGTCTCATGAACATTCCATAACAACACTATATAATAATAATATTAATTAGGGGGGTACACATTGTGACCCTGAGCAACCTCTGATGAAACTGTGGTAAGTTTAGAAAAGCGAATCCCTGATATTTACGCACAAGAAAATCCCTAATCCCGTCCAACATTGAATCATCAATGTCTTAATAACAAAGTGTGAACATAACCCTGTCAAAAAAGCATTTGAAATGTTAGTATAGTTGATAAATGAGTTGGTAGTCTTGAATCTTTCCTCATGGAATCCATGCTGTTCTGGGTTTACTGCAGTTGCAGTCTTAAGATAACCTCTTTGTAACTAGACTTTCTAGAAGTTTCTAATGTCTGATTGAGTGCAGACTACTCTAAAGTTGATTTCATTTGGCTAGATTTGCTTATGGGCTTTGGGAATGTGGACTTCCTTATTCCATTTGGTCCATGACCAAGTTTGGGACTGTCAGTCAGTAGAATAAAATTTGCAAATGAATTTATGAGTTTCAAGTTCCCTTGAGAAATCCCACCACATGAGTTTCCATGATTTTCAAAAATAAATGGTTTAACCTTACTGTAGGACGTAGGTGCATTAATCATAAGTGACTAGTTCTATTCATGTTTATAAATTGGAGGCAGTTTTTCACAAAAGTGTTAGGAAATTTCCTAAATAAGCTAAATACTATGTTAAACATGTCGAGAGAAATCTCGTCATTCATCAAGTAAATTTTCGTTTTAGGTCAGAAGGAGCTTCTCATGCCTCCCAATCAGAATGGGTGGGTTTATCAAAATTTAATCGTCAATATGAGCGCCGCTATTTTGATTCACAATGTTAATGTTGAAGGCACAACACTGCTGATTAAATATATCTTGAAAGAGGAAGTTTTTGGTGCCTTGCTTGCCTTGGAGGTGTATCTATTGGTTTTACGGTAATATTTTCAATTTTCACACTCATGGTAAGCACCAAAATTTTTAATTTTTTGTTTCAGTAATATTCCTGAAGACGACTGTACCAGGCTTGTAATCAACTTATTTAACGCCACTGAGAGGCTTGAAGGTGTCTACTTCACTCATAAACCAGAATATATATATCTGAAATGTTTGCTTCAACGTATATTTAAGTTCCTATCACATAAATCCAAGTTGGATTTATTGAAAGTGTTCCACCCTGATGAGCACATACAAGTTTGGAGGTTTTTGGGGTTTGCTTGTATCCAGAATCAGGAAATTTTTGAGCCGGTTATTAATAATACTGTAAATTATATAAAGGAATTGGATAATTATAAGCGACGAACAACTCCCTTTGCTGGTAATCAGATGTCTAGCGAACCAATAGCTTTGAATATTGTAAGTGAAATTTAAGACAATATTTTGTTTAGGCTAGGAGTTGGTTATAGAGTTTTACTACTTACCTCGCTACTTACTATAAGTCCTAATTTTATGTTATGACCTATTTAACCTATGAAATTATCAAAATGCCTTATTTTCAAGTAATTTTTCATGTTCCTTCGAATGGAACCTGATTTTAAACTTGAAATTGAAAAGGTTTAATTTTCAGAAACTCTCTCAGAAATGTCTGTAAAAGACATTGATATTAAATATTTGTTTTTTTTTTCAGGGTGAAGGTATTGGACTCTTGTCAACAATAACCGACAGAAATATCGTTAAAAACAAAATAACTACAATAACGTCATTTATGGATACATTTTTGTCTTTGGATTTTACAACCGATATATTGAACAATAATTTGTTCCAATATTTCATAATGAAAATTAGATTTTTCGATTCAAAAATAATCTCAAAATTTCAAATTCTATGCCAAAATCCTGCTTACTACACATCAATTTATAGAATAATCTCAAGTTATGCAACTTCAAACCATCAAGACGCTTTAACTGAAATTGCAATGATATTTCCTTACGTATTTGAAAATACATCGATTCTATTCAAACAACTTTACTTTGAAATGTTGAGAGACCTAAAGGATAATAAGAAAACTAGTTTCAAAGTGTTACTGGAGCGTTTGGATGCCAAATTGGCCAATCAGATGTTCAAATATTTCGAGAGATTTGATCATATGAATCCACGAAGTTCATTGTCGCCAATCCATATTGAAATGGAAAAGTTCCAACATAATTGTCTCAAATGGAACCAGGTTGTGATGACGCCTAAGCAAATGAAATTTGATGAACTGGAGTCTCAAAAAACTCAACAATCTAAATTTAACGAAATTAATGTAGATAGAGGAGTCAAGCGTACACTGGAACTACCCAAAGTTACTGTGAAAAAAAAATCCAAAACTAACTGTATAAAAAAATTTGAAGAGGAAAAACTAAATTCAAGCGTTGGCGTAGAAAATGATATTACTGCCGTAAGTGACGTTATACAGAACCTTAAAAGTGAGACTAAATGTTTGATGAAAACTCTCAAGACTGATAAATTGACTGCGAAAAATGCGAACGATTTGAAAAATATTATTGCTCAACTTTCTTCTCTAATGTACCTATAGATAAACAAATTTGTTGGAATTAAAATAAAATATATTTGGTTTAGTTCCAAATGTTGAACAGATATTAGATTATAATAGAATACGTAATATTTCGTTAATTATTTGTTTTTAATTTAGTTTTTCACAATAAATTATATTTTTCGATATATGTACTTGTGGGTTTTAGTTGATAAATTGTACAGCACTACCTATTTCTTCACTTCTTTTCCTTTTGGCAGCAGAGTAAGAAGTCCATTTGGTTATATTTTTTTCAAATATCACATCATTTGAATTAAATATTAAATACTTGAAGGTTTTTTGAAAAGCTATAATATAAAAAGTAATCTGGATAAGTTTCATATTTTATAAAAAATGAATAGATTTTTTTTTTAAATTACATAAGTCGAAATGCTGTGGCAGGTATGTACCTAAGTATGTTTTCTATCATGGAATTATGTTTCCTTGTTCAATATAGCTCCTCCATGAACAAGGGCGCTCATAGAAAAAAGTTTGAGAGGGGGGCTCAAAAAAATTGGAATGGTTTCATGAACAACAAAAAGCGAAAAAATTGCGAATAGTTTTTATTCCCACATAGGAATTAATAGGGGTAGTAACCTTATACCATATACCTACGTAAAAAAATTGGGTTCTCCAATTTTTTTAGAAAAATATCCAACAAGAGCGTCTCGGTCAATAGTAGCCAAACTGTTGAACTTATGGAAAAATGTTCTGTATAAAAGTTTTAGCATTTCATCTCTGCTATAACTCAAAATTATTTTCAAGTATAGAGGGTGTCTCAAAAAAGTGTAATCACAAATTTTATGTTTTTTTTTTTAATGGAATACCGTATGTTTTTATGTGGCAACTGAAGCCTCTATGTGCGCTGTATTCGATTTTAAAATCGTATTTGGATTGAATGCAGCGTTGCCAAGTTATGATTTTTCGAAGAAAAAAATAGACCAAAACACTTTTTTTAAACTGTCATATCTCCGCCTCCGCCACTGTACCAGGGGCGGACCCATGGGGGGGCAACGCCCCCCCCAATGTCCACTCCAGTTGGTAAAAAAATGTCTAGTTGGTTTCCAATCCTCACGCCAGTTGGTAAGACCCCCAATGTCCACTCCAGTTGGTAAAAAAATATCTAGTTGGTTTCTAATCCACACGCCAGTTGGTAAGAGAAAACGGCAGTGTTAATACTTCTAAAATTGACTTAAACACGTTCTAAAAAAAGGAATTTTATAAAGTTTTAGATACCCTAATAAGTTTTTTAAACGATAATTTAACTACTATTTTCAAAATTCTGCGCGGATTCACCTGTTTATTCTCATTGGGTACATTCAGGCGTTCCCAGCGGCTAAGCTCAGCCACTCAGCAGGGACTTTATTCTTGAAACCGAGGAACAGCGTTCTCATGAGAACGATTGCTCTGTCATTGTCAGTGTTTAGGAAATATGGATACGGACGATGAACATAGAACCTTCGTTCTCATGAAAACGCTGCTTCCCTGTTTCGATAATAAAGTCCATGCTGAGTGGCTGAACTTAGCCACTGGCACCGCCTGAATGTACCCATTTCCTCTCTCTAGACCTAATGAACATATACCTATCTATGACAAATGTCAATTTAGTACTTAATTTATACAGGGTGTTCGGTAGGTCGATGCAAATATTTTGAGATGCGATAGAGGTCATTTAGAACCTATTTAGTCAAACTTACCTTAGTACCAAGTCTTATGGTTTTCAAAATATGGACGATTTTATTTTTTCTTAATCAACTCCTTCGTTCGGTGCTTCAATGCAATATTAGGCAACAACATCACAAATTATCACACAAATAAGCCAGACGTTAACAAACTGTTCACTTATTTCAGTTTAAAAGTGATAATTTTGTTTTTAAAGAGTAGAAAAAAGAGGCTACGTCCAGGTTTTTCCGTAAATACCTACTTATTTTTGGGAATCTGTAGTCTTAATTAACGATTTTTGTGCTGCAATCCAAAAAAAAAAATTGTAATTTTTTCGTGATATGTGCAATTCGAAAAGGCACATGTGAAAATACTTATTTTCCTAATAGGTGCGCAGTTTTCCTTGTACTTTATTTTTTAAATTTTCACAAAATGGGATAAAATTTTGTATACATCACCTGAGTTAAAATGTTTATTCGTTCATTAACCCACTCGCTGGGGCTCGTGGGTTAACCTTTTTTCTCATAAATAAACATTTATTTAACTCTCTTGGTGTACCTATAAATAACTATGAAAACGTTGGTTGTCTTTATCGTATTTTTTTTTCAAAAAAAAAGCTTAACTTGCAATGGAATTAGCACTCTTAGTATTAATTTTTTATTTATTTTATTGTTAATGCATTTGACTCAAGAAATACACATTCTATTAAGATACAAAACAAAAATAATCGAGAAAGTATTTCTCAATATCGCATTAAAGCACTCAATGAAGGATTTCTGAGATTTTTTTAGGAAAAAATTAAATCGGCCATATTTTGAAAACCATAGGACTTGGTACTAAGGTAAGTTTGACTAAATAGGTTCGAAATGATTTACTCTTTCAGCTCCAAAATATATGCATCGACCTACCAAACACCCTGTATATATCCTCAAAATTTTAGACCAGCTGCATACGCTCTTGCAACAGAGATTGAAATTCTCTTTGACCTATGTAATAAACATACCAAAACTATTGATAATATCCAACAAGTAGTAAAAGTAGCATTAAAAAATATAAATTCACTCAAGAAAGCATTTCAAGTATGCCAACTCTACTTTACTGCAGAATATTCAAGGTGAGTTTGACTTGGCAACTCTTTTGACTCCTTTGACACTTTTTACTGCAAAATCGTTCGGGTCAGGCCACTGGGAGCAAATAGTGCAAGCTTCTCATCGTTCGGGTACAGCCAAGTAAAGTGAAAAGAGATAACTCCAGGTCGGGGATTCTAAAATCACGATTCGACATACGATTCGACAACGAGACGATTTTTCCGACGATTCTAGGTTAGAAATCTCATTGGAATTATACCTTTCGACACGACAAGGCCGGTATCGTTGTCGAGTCGTGTGTCGAATCGTGATTTTAGAATCTCGGCCCAGAAGCACCACCTCGAGAGATGAAGTTTGAGGAGCGGGCATGCGCATTTCCTTTATTTCCAAAAGGCGGTAAAATTTAAGTTTTTAATAATTCACTATGCTAACGATCCTACCGAAAAGAATTCAAAGAAGATATTTTATACTTAGGGCTTGGTCACCTCCTGGGGTCCTGGTCGAAAAAATGGCATTGCTCCCCCTAAATATCCGCAAAAACACATGTTCGGTTTGTGATGGGGATAAGCGCCCGCGGCTCGCCTTGCTCCTGATCCGTTCGACGTACCTTGCGTTCGGTATTTTGCTCGAAGAGCAGAGCGTGCAGAGTGGAGCCGTAACCACGTGACCAGCGAGCGAACAGAGCAGTTGAACGCTGTATAAAAGTGCCAGAAATTTTAATAAACGAACGCGAATGAGCATACACCGAGTACACTTTTTGAATAAACGAACGGTAAAGTCAAGCTCGGAGAACTCAGACCAAAATAACGAACGCACGGTAAATCACTTTACTCTTTTCACTCTGTGATCACGTGGCTATGGAACAGCTCTCTATCTGTTTCAACTCCGTTTTGCCAAGCCGAACTCACCTTGAGTAGCAACCAATGAGCGAAAATTCAGCTAACTAAAATTCGTAAAAAATTACTCACGTAGGGGAAGTTGCTCAACCTAGGGACGCTTTTTTTGATTAGGGTTTTTGAAAATGTATTTGCTTAATTAAACTAAAAATATGAGATTCAGAGTAACTAGCGATACATGTAGTGTGTATGTTCAGATTTTTATTTGTTTGTATTCAAAGTTATAGTGATGATAAAATAAATTAACTTTGGCTGCATTTGTCCCTAGGTACATACCGTGTATGTACCTAGAGACATGCTAAGTTTAACCTAGGGACAGCAAATCTTAACAAGTTTTAATACTTCAAAAGCTTATTTATTGAACAAAAATATATTATATTTCTTCTAACATAATGTAGGTATCTCAAAAAATAAAAAATAAATTGTTTTTCTAATAATAAACAGACCAAAGTTTTAAACTTTAACGCATGTTAAAGCCTGAAAAATCTATCCCAAATTTCAGGTGATTTGAACTTCTTTTTGTTGAGCCTACAGACTCTGGAGGAGGTAGTTGCATTATTATTTCCGCCATTTGGAGTGTATAAATCTGTTCCTCGTCTTGAATGATAAATGTGTCAGTCTTTTGCATTTTTTTCAAATAAATCACATCAAAATCTATTTTTCGGGATTTAACAATTTTAGCTACAAAGTGTTCTTTATTCTTTTCTCCTGTACACTGCACTAAAACATAATCTCCCTCTGCAATATCTTCGTGTTCTAATCTTTTTTCAATTTCATAATTCTTAATCTCTTCCTCTACGTCATAATCTGAGCTTTTATCTGTTAGTGCCACTTCTTCATCTTCTTCCTCGCTGCTATCTTGCCATAACTTCTTTGTAACTCGTTTCTTCCTAACCTGCATCTCCTTTGTTGAATTTTTCCTCTTAGATTCTTTGCTTTTCTGTATTTCAATCTCTTCGGGCGTGTCAGTAATTATTCGCGATTTGCCAATCCGTCTTCTTGTCAACATTTTCCTTGGTGCTGCCTTCGGGAACGGTCTTATCATTTCAGGGGTAAATTTGGCATTGGTAACTTCCCCATTAGATACAATAGAATTCTGCTCAATACTGTCTTCTCTGATCTCTGCTTCCAACTTGTTCATTAATGTAAGCGTCTTTGTGTATGTTGATGATGCTGAAGAAATTATTGGAGGAGCGTTTATATTTGCTGCTGTAAATAATTTTGTTGGCGGCGTTAGAATGGGTGATTTTCTGGTAGATGGGCCAGCTTCTTCAGTCACATCCATAGGTAAAGGTCTGTCAGACACGTTTGATGGCATAAAATCAGATTCATCGAATATGTTCGAATTTAAGGGTACAATGCCTGTCGCTTTGAATCCACTTACAATATTCTTTATTGAAAATGCAAGCTCATAGGCAACTCCAGCCAATTCTGCCAAGTCATATATGTTTACTGGTCGATTAGCATTATTGGGGCAATTCATCCAGTCATTCATTGCCTTGTTGTAAAATGACTTAAATGGTTCAAAAACCGTCCGATCTAGGGGTTGCATTTTATGGGAACAGTGTGGCGGTAGGGTTAAAAGTACAATCCCCACTTCATTTGCTTTTGAGATCACCTGTGGACTGTATAGTGACTTTCATGATTATCTAATATAATAATTTGAGAGTTTTCATTTGTTGGTCGTACATGATTAATGAAGTGTTCAATATACTGTTTAAATATGTCTTCGTTGGACCATCCGCTACGATTCGCAGCCCCGATTGATCCAGGAGGTGCTCCTTTCAACATCATCGGTTTGAAATGGACTCGCGGAAATACAAATAGAGGAGGCACACTGTTTCCTGCTGCACTAATTGCAGCAATCATAGTGACGAGAGTGCCTCTCTCAGCAGAAGACATATTTCCAACCTGTTTTGCGCCTTTTGATGCAAATACTTTCGGAGGAGCATGGACAGTAGAAAGGCCTGTCTCATCAATGTTCCATATTTGGTGAGGCTGATATTCTTTACGGCTAAGGACCTCCTTGTATTTATTGAAAAACTCCTGAACATTTGTTTTGTTGAATGCAGTAGCCCTGGAAAGACTGGTAGCTTCAGGCTTTCTCAAAGAGATATCAGGATGTCGCTTACGAAACATTCGCAACCAGCCTTGTCCTGCCGATTTTTTTGCTTCCCATTGTGGAACTGGTATTTGGTTTGCTACAGCATAATGGTATGCGGTTTTCTTCATTTCGATCCTTGTTAGTCCATAATTGTGTTGTGCAGCTAAAATGAGGTAAACTCTCAAATCTGATTCTTGCTCCGGAGTGAAAACTTTGTGAATATCATATTTAGGTTTGTATTTGAATTCAATCGAGTGGTAGGTATCCATCACGTCACTTTGTTAGAAAACGGTATGTCATTTCTCTATCCGTTTTGTAACCCGGTTAGTTTAAACCGGAGCCACGTGAACAGAACTATTGTATTTTATAGTTCTCGGGCACGAAAACCCATAAATCCTCTAATCCCTAGCTTAGCGTCTGACGCACGAGAACTTTCTAATAAATAATATTTTTCATAATTTTATGTTCTACACCACATCTGGCGACACTGTTGATGACACCGACAACGGTACTACGATAAAAACTTGATTTGGAAAATCGAGGTCGATAAAGCAATCTTGTGTAGTGTGTAAAATCAATCGGTAATATCCTTGCGTATAAACCCAGTGCGTGTCGCTCGGAGTCACTCGTAAATGTAAATAGTCTCGGGAAAGAATCGTGCAGAGTGAAAAACGAAATATTCTAGTTAACCTGGGATTAAAGTTAAGTCCTAATCCTGGATTAAACTAAACTAGTCGGTGCAACTAAGCGAGAAATAGGAATACTTATCTCTCAGAAGAAGTTTAGAAGATCCTACCCTACAAGAATCTACTTGGGAAAATTCTCAGAAAAGAAAAACAGGAAAATATTTTATCTTCTGAGAATACTCAAAATTATCCATAGACTTGTTATTTATCTTCCAGTTCTGCTCCGTAAATGGAGCAGAAAAAAGGGATAAACTCGGAAAAAAAAAGCGAATTCCATTGGTTTTTTAACCGAACCTTTTAGATTAGAACTGCTTTTTGGATGCCATTTGGCCGCATTTTTTGTTCCGAGTGCAACAGGAGTGCGATTTAGAAATTGGTTCTATATTTTGGCCGTTTCTAACATTCTAACCAAATAATTTCCCTATTTTTTATTTAAACTCCCATACAGCTCAAAGGTCAAATGTGCACCGAGATGAGGGTCGATCTTGTCACCGCTTCATAATGAAAACGCTTAAAAGCGTTCTGTCGACGATTCATGAGTAATATTGTGGGTTGCCTATAGATGTCGCTAAGTGAAAAAAAATCGACGGATGAGTGACGTTGAAGGTTATGTTTTGTTTAGCTTGGGCTCCCAGGAATGATTGCCAGTTTGTGTGAAAATAATTCAATTTTAATAATTTTTCCCCTAATCTCGATATTCAAAAATGGATATTAAAAAAGAAAAAGGAGTCAGCAATGAAGAGGACGAAGGAGTGGAAATCATCCGCTTGGACCTAGAAACCGACGCAAGGGAGGAAGATCCTAAATCACTAAAAGGCGAAACTCCAAAGACTGCTAAAGACCTTTTTTCGGATTTCAAACCCGACTCTGGAAGCGAACAGGAGAATGAAAATGAAGAAGAATCGGATGGCGATGATGATGACGATGAACCTTTGGCTAAAAGGATTAAAAAGGAGAATCCAAAAATTGTCACTAGAAAGATGAAAAAGGAGAATGATGGAGCCAGCCGGACGCCGAATAATAAAAAAGTGGTTTGAAGAAATTTATTATTTATGTTTTGTTTTAGTGTGCTGCACATAGCAAAATAGTCGTACTTAATTTTTCTCGTCATATCATGCAACCCTGGAAAGTAATTATTATAGTAACCTATAAGTTTCTCGCTTTTGTTATCACCTAAACCATTATCTACTAATACTGGATGATTTAATACCATCATGAATCATAATAATACTGAGTTATGAGTACCTACATAACTTAATTTCCCAAAGCTTTTGATGATGCAATACCCGAGGCAATACCTAATTGAATAATTAGATAACTGGGTTCTGTTCTGACCGAGGTTCTGACTCTGGTTACCCAATTCCTGTAGCACTTTTGTCAAATCTATGGAAATGTTGTATACATACCGGGTGTCAACCGGATCGCTTTTGCTCTGACAGCTTTTTATCCCTTTTCCGATTGTCCTATGTAGAGTTCAGATTTGACAAATTTCATCTCTTGACGTTATGTAAAATTCTATGGTGTAAAAGTCTAGCAAACCGGAAGTGACACCCCTAGCTTCATAAACTTAAATGGCAACCTACTATTTTTTTAGTAGTTTTGAAATCTTCGGATTAATCTATGGAAATATCAAATTTGAAGCTGTTGGAAGAAAATTGAAAATTTTGAAACAAAATTTGTGTTTGAGTTGAGACTAGACTAGAGGGCGTTTCTAGTTTTCTGTTTATGAAAATAATCGATTTCCGTAAAATTTTTCTAATAGTTATTTGTTTTACTAGGCAGAAAAGCACAATATTTAATGCCGCGGCTGGTGTTTCATAGCCGAGGCCTAGGCAGTCAAAAAACACCTTTTGAGCCTGTCAAGTATCATTAAAAAGTCACTTTTACTGTCATTCCGAGAAAAAAGCACTTTTATTAAGCAGAATCCTCGGCAGAATCCAGTGACGTTTTCAGTTTTTTTCTATTTGGTCTTGGTTTTGAGATATTGACGTTGAAGTTTTATTTTATTTTTAATAAGACACCCTATAGGTATCATAATAACTCATTGGATAGCTCTATGCTGATTTCAATGATATAAGTTCAAATGGGTTTATCTCTAACATTTTTCGAGAATAAATTTATCTGTTGAAGGGCCGGTTTATTCACCTTCTGTTAAACTGTCAGGTATGCAATCTGACGGATGAAAATGCAATCTGTAATCCCATTGGTTGGCCAGTTATCCGCAGACGAATGGAATTATAGGACAATAAATTTATCCGGCAAATAGTTACCAGCAAGTTTAACTATATCTGAAAATGAATAAACTGGGCCTTAGTCATAAGAAACGATGTGTTAGAAAAATACCTTTCTTATTTTCCTTACAGATGTAAACTTTCTTTCTTTCTAACACATTGTTTCTTATGAAAAAAACAGTTTTTTTTCTCAAAAACTGTCAGAGAAAAACCTATCAAACTTTATATCATTGAAATCAGCAAAAGCAGAGCTATTCAATGAGCTATTGATATTACGCCAGTCAATGAGGCTTCGGAATTAACAATAATTACAAACAATGTGAAATTTAGGGTTTATGTATAGTTCATTTTTTTGTATAACAAAAAAATGAACTATAAAAATTTGCACCTTCCAGTGACGTGCGGAACATTGTTTTTTTTAATTAAATAAAAATAGTTATTTTCCTAACAAGTGCGCAAAGTGTTACTTTTCCGCACGCAAACACAGTTATACGAACGACGCGAAGCGGAGTTCGGATACGTGTTTGCGTGCGGAAAAGACACTTTGCGCACGTGTTAGGAACAAAATTTTTCCTACGAGCTTCATATCAGGTAGGTAACAACAAAAATTTAAAAAAAAAAACGATAATTTGTTTAATTATTTTTAATTAACTTGAAGGGAACCTATGCATTTATCAAAAAATTACATAACAAAAAAAAAATATAACAGAAAATCATCGTCAGAGCTCTTCATCTTAAAGCGTTTAATGGCGATTTCCATTTGTCATCAGTGCCGCACTGAGTGCATCCGCATCTTTTTCTAAAAGCATGTAACATGTAAGGATAAGGATACATTTTTTTGCCCTGTTTCGACAAATGGAAAATGCTATAAATTTGATGAGAAAGTTTGTAGATGCATATATATAGAAAACAAATCTGACAATGTGTTGAAGTTAATTAAATTTGGTGTTTGTAGGTATAGATGTTAGCTGGAACAGGAACAGAGGAAAAATTTGTCATCATGTGTCAAAGTCGACAGGTGTACTTATTGTTGCTTGACAATTATTTTTACTTTTCGGCACTCAGTGCGGATAAGGCCTGTATCCGCACTGAGTGCGGAAAAGTGCAACTTTGAGAACCGAAATGCGTGCGGAAAAGTACTACTTTGCGCACGCTCGTAGGAAAAATTATTAAATTCTGTTTTTTTTTTAAAGATAAAAGTCAAAATGACATTATGCTTCAAATTTTTTATGTAGAAAAGGCTTGTGTTGCCAACATAGTTACTAAATTTTTTTTTCTACTTGCGTGCGCAAAGTAATCACTTTGCGCACGGAAACTCTTTGCGCACTCATTTTTGTTACGCATAATTACTATAGTTATACTTGATTTTCCAATGTTTTGATGGTTTCTGAATAAACTAATACTCAAAATGAAGGGTTTTAGTTGAAATTAGCACTTAGTTAACATGATGTTTCCTATCAAAGGTGTCCAAATTGGACCAGCCTGTACTGCTAGGAATTTGTAGAATTTTTGATATTTAAGAGACTCTCATGGAAATATTCTAGCTGGTATTCTAGAAATTCCAGAAGATGTTGAAAGATTTTTGGGGATACAATTTAAAAGACATTCTGAGGAATTCCAATAGATTTTAAACGATTTTTGAAGATTTTGATTTGATTGATTTTTCTAATATTTTTTTTAAGATACTCGTAGAAAAAATATTGTTCCTAACACTTGCGCAAAGTGTCTTTCCCGCACTCAAAGCTTATCCGAACTCCGCTTCGCGTCGTTCGTCTAACTGCTTTTTCGTGCGGGAAAGTATCACTTTGCGCACTTGTTAGGAAAATAACTATTTTGACTTGGGGAATTATCTTTAAAAAAAAAGAGTTTAATTACTTCTTCCCAAAAATTGCTAACAAAGTGCAAATTTACAAAAACGCGACGACTGATCTAAATCTTGTATTAATTTTGCACCTTTTTTCATTAGGCGGAACACAATGAAAAATTATTTATTGTTGAAAAGTATTATTTAGTTTTCGGAAAAAATGCTAACAAGGTGCAAATTAGGATGATGCACCGTAAATGTTAAACAAACAATTGTATAAATTTGCACCTTTCAATCTCCTCCGGAAATGAGCGATTCACATTAATATAACATATCATATGTGAAATTGAGGGAAAATTGCTAACAATTCAAAAACTAGGTGCAAATGTTCAAATTGATTGCCAGAATGTTATGCAACATTTGCACCCAAAAATATTAAGTGGAAACCTTTTTTTTCTAATTTTTGTTTTTTTACAATATGTAATTATTGACATCGAGAAAATTACAAACAGGGTGCTAATCACAACAGCAATTCTAAATAATATTTCAACCCTTACTTCGAGTTTGCACCCCTTTATGAAGCACGGAATAAGAAATATCTCCAAAACATCACTCAAATAATATTTACGCTGTCCGCGCTACAGATTAGTTTTAATATTTTGAACTTATTCCGTGCTTCATATAACTAGGGGTGCAAACTCGAAGTAAAGGTTGAAATAATATTTAGAATTGCTGTTGTGATTTGCACCATGTTTGTTATTTTCTCGATGTCAATAATTATGTAAAAAAACAAAAATCAGAAAAAAAGGTCTCCCCTTAATATTTTTGGGAGCAAATGTTGCATAACATTTTGGCAATAAATTTGTACATATGCACCTAGTTTTTGAATTGTTAGCAATTTTCCCTCAAAATAATGGTGTTTTTTTCACATATGATATGTTATATTAATCAGAGGCGCCGACTTTTGAAAGTCCTCATGGGTGCAGAATAACTTCATAAATTTGTTTATAGGGGGTGGGGGGGGGGGGTAGTTCGCCGTAGGCGCCGCCGGAGGCGAATTTTTTTTTTCTACGAGCGTGCGAGAAGTGCTTTTTTCTACGACTGCTCTAGAAAGCTATTAAAAACGCACTACTAACTTACATAGAAAATCAATTATTCCGCACAGCGAAAAATACTTTTCACACGCTTAAGTACTTTTCACACGCTTTTGCGTGTGAAAAGTATTACTTCTCACACGCTGTAATAAAAATGACACTTTTTCTGAATTTTTGTTTTGCAAGTAACTCTGAGTGCATTCAACGTATGTACCAAAATAGTTCGTTGATTATAGCCTTAAATATGTAATAATTTTTAACAAAAAAAATTAAATCTCAATGTGAATATAGTTATTTCACAGTCGTAGAAAAAGTATAGTGTGTAACGCGTGTGAAAAGGGCTATTTTCAACACTTGTTGCACAATATACTATTTTCTGCTGGCATTTAGGCACTAATGCGGAAAAGTAAAGTAATTATGCAATATTAAGTCCATGTCCTGAAATGCCTGCGGAAAAGTACTTCTCCGCACTGTCCTGAAAAAATAACGTTCCTTAATCATGCGGAAAATCTTTTTTCCTCATTCAATTGCTACGCACGCACACGCCCTAACTGACGTTTTGTTTCATTTTAGCCGCCTCTGTCAACTGTCAGACTGTCACTGTCAACTAATGAACTATTATTAGGTCTGTTTCAGCAGAAATCACAAACCAGTAAGATCGAATTTCATTGGTTGAAACTAGTTTTCTGATTGTTTTCAACCAATAAAATTCGCTCTGACTGGTTTGTTATTTCTGCAGGAACAGACCTATTATAAAACTTCCGATACATCGAAAAGATTATATCGATATTTTTTTCGATATATCGAATGTAAAATATCGATTAAAATATATACAGTTGTGAGCACAAAAAGTGGGACACCCGTTTTTTCCTATTGTTCTATTGTGAAACGGCCTCATTACCAGCTATACCTACGGCAATGACAGGGATTGTCATATTTGACAAAAATCCATTGTAGAGAAGAGACCGATTTACCCAAAATAGCGAAAAATGACAAGACCTGTCAGTCGGGTGTCCCACTTTTTGTGGTCACGACTGTAGATATATTTGAATAATATTTTGATTTCTACAAAACATCGATATATCATTGCCATCCCTACCCACGCGCAAAACTAATTTATATGGCATACGGCGCAAGCGCCAGACTTCCTGTTGTGGTTGTGGAGCGGACTGTCCGATTACTTTCAAAGAATAGAGATGGAGGATAGCAACATAAAGTAATAGAGCATGGAACTGACCACAAATAATGGAAGGACAAATGGACAGAATACCACACACACACCACCCGATAATTCTTATACAAAGTTATGTAAATTCAAATTACATGATAGTGGATATGATGGAACGGAATGAGCATTAAACACGTTTGTACTTCCGCATTTCCCAAAAGAGCTCCCATGGGTGCTCCGCACCCATGAGAGGTTGCTCATGGGTGCACCTGCCCCGATGCCCCCATGTAGTCGGCTCCAGTGATATTAATGCGAATCGCACATTTCCGGAGGAGATTAAAAGGTGCAAATTTAGACAATTATTTGTTTGGCATTTATGGTACATTATCCTAATTTGCACCTTGTTAGCATTTTTTCCGAAAACTATGTAATACTTTTAAACAATACCTAAATAATTTTTCATTGTGTTCCGCGTAATGAAAAAAGCGGGGAAAAAAAGGTGCAAAATTAATACCTACAAGATTTGGAAGATCAGTCGTCGCGTTTTTGTAAATTTGCACTTTGTTAGCAATTTAAACAATGTTCCGCACATCACTGGAAGGTACAAATTTTTATAGTTCATTTTTTTGTCATGCAAAACCTAAATCCTAAATTTCACATTGTTTGCAATTATTAGATATTAATTCCGAAGCCTCATTGACTGGCCTATAATTCACTACCTATAAGAGAGATTATTATAATATAGGGTATCCTATGAAAAAAATCGGACTTTGTTCAATATTTCCAAAATCAGAAACAAATTAAAAAAAACTGAGAATGTCACTGAATTCTGCTTAAAAAAGTGATTCTAGAAAGTTTTAACGAAAATCAATTGAGTATTTTCATTAATAAATTTTTTTTTAAAAATTATGGAGGTTTCACAGTACCCATAAAAAATAACAACTTTTTTCTAATTTAAACGCCCTCGTAACTTCAACCGTTCCCGAAATAGCAATACTGTCCCTATGAAATACATAGTTGGGACCCTGTATAGCTCAAAATCGAGAAATGCCCTCTAGCGGTCAAACGGTTGAAAATCAAAATGCGGTTTGCACCAGTCAAGATTCCATGAAATTTGATCCTCACAGTGAGGGTGTAGATCATTTGACACCAACTTTCAATTATCTATGATTTAGAATTCTGGTTAAATTAATCATATAGGTATTAGGTCTGTTGTTGCAGAAATTGCAAACCAGTCAGAGTGATGTTGGGACGCTAAATTAATTACATAAATTATTACTGAGATTATAAACGTAATTATAAAGAGCGACTTTCATTTGAAAAAACATATAGCATCTCAGAAACGGTTAACTTGGCAACATTGCAAATACATATCACCATTGGATGGGGCATTCCCAAAAAACCCCAGGGTCCTTATTTTTGAAACAGGGGAGCAGCGGTCTATGAGAACCTATTCTCTCTTTTTCACTCATATTTTTATTTGCGTGACTCTGACAACGACAGAGCAATTGTTCTCATAAGACCGCTGTTTCCAGAATAGGCATCAAGTTAGAAAATATTGTACATTTTCTTAAGCGCGTTCTGAAATATTAGCCCCTTTCCATACATAATGACAAATTTGAAATTTGGGAAGCTTAACTGAGGCCACTTTTTGAAACAAAATTGCGTTACAAATCACTTTCGGTTCAACCGATGGGACACCTGTATTTTTGTACTTTCTTGGCACCAGCAGATCGTTTCATGAATGTATAATCAAGGGGGTAACAACTGGACCAAAATTTGTACATGCATTGCGCATTACATGAGTGATTCCGGTAATTCCAATGTAATGCCAGTAATAACATCATAATGCCATGTAATTTTATGTAATGCCATTATAATTATGTATACCCAGGCTATATGAAATAGTTTCACAGTTTTACGTATACCAACCAGACAAACAAATCATTATACATTGTTGAAAACAAACACCACATCCTATAATTTGTACATATTTATTATTATTCTATAGATAGTTATTTTTCTAAGGCTCTGGTTATTCATCTTCAGATAAACTTGCTGGTAACTATCTGCCAGATAAATTCACCGTTCTATAATTCTATTGGTCAGCCGATAACTGGCCGAACAATGGGATTACAGACTACGTTTTTTTAGCGTCAGATTGCCTGCTGACAGTTTATCAGAAGGTGATTAAACCGGTCCTAAATCTGAATAAAATGCTAATTTTTTCTCGTAATCTATTTTACAAAAACCCCAGCAAAAACCGTTTCAACTTGTTAAATACATTGTCTTTCATTATGGTAGAGTTTTACAATGGTTAATTTATTCCTCGATTTATCCTGTTTCAAAAGTTGAAATGGTTCTAAACAATCGCACAGTCTATCAATCAACAAAATGCAAAGGCTCAGCTATCACAAATTTCAATAATAAACTGTGCGATTGTTTTGAATCGTTCTAGATCTGCCTTTTCTTTGAACCCGAACAAAGCTTATAAAAAAATTGAGATCATAAAAATTTGTAACTTCAATGTTTTCCTACCTGAACGGAGGAATTTCAGCTCGAGTTTCAGTTTAAAACTAAGCAAAGGGGTTGTGTCTCAGGTTTTGTCAAATGTCACCAGGCTAGGCTTGAAACTAGTTTTTTTTTCGCTGGAAAATAGCCCCACAACCTTAGGAAAGTCTTTACTTATTTTTAAGTGCAAATGCGAGTGCAAATGATAGTCACGCAGTGCAAAAGAATGATCAAGAGAATGTTGTACCTAAAATGGTGGCCATTTCAAGTAAATCGGTTCTCTAGAGATCTAAAAAAACAAGAAAAGAAGAATTCAAATCGCAAGGCCGACTAGATTTTTTCACTGCTTGACTATTATTTTACTTCCGTAATTTCAAATTTCCAACTTAATTATCAAAAAAGTTATAGGCTGTGCTCTATTCGTTGTGTAACCCAGTATACTTACTGGCTCTATTCTTGTTAAAATTCCAGAACTTACCTGTGAAAATAATAGGACAATTAATTATTGTCTTATTAGGTTAAGCCATTAGCAATACTCTACTTACAGTTATAGATATTATTTAAATTTTTATCATCAAATCAGTACAACTATTTCTATTTTTCAGTATCTCCAAAAATATAAAAAAGAATGGGAAGAAATACCATCAGTAAAGCCGTGGTTATCAGAAAGCGTCCACGGAGAAACTTACTTCTACTGCAAGTTTTGCAAAAAAGATTACAAATGTGGAAAATCGGAGGTGTTCAAGCACATGTCCTCGATGAAACATAAAAAAAACACTACTCAGCCACCATCTGAGAAAATTATCAAGAAGGTAAGAAATTTTGAGCTTATATCACATGAATACATTATAAATTTTTAAATCAAACAATAGTGTTATCCACTTCTAAGTCAAAAAGATCATTTCAGCCCTATATTTTCTTTTTCAGCAAATGATGAAATTTAGAGGCTTACTGTGTCCAGTAGTAACACCATTTGTTAAATCACGAACCAAAGATGTTTGTTATGATTTAATTCAACCTTATGTTAAATTTTTAAAAGCCTGCGGGGTAAAGGGCATTTTGGGTAAATTATTAGAATAAATATCAAAAACATTTGCTTATGTTAAAGTTTTCAGTAAACGATGTTGTTGGCGAAGGCATGTCCTTGACGATCAGCGAACGAAAAAGAGTTTTAGAATATTGGTGCACACTTTGCAAAGAATACGGAATTTTCGTTATGGTACAAATTGGAGGGGCACCGTTGAGAAGTGTGGTCGAATTAGCTTTGCATGCAGAAAAGTCTGGCGTAGGAGCCATTGTGATTCTACCAGATCTTTACCAAAGGCCACAAGATCACTTGGATCTTATTAGATATATAAAAACTGTTTCGATTAATACTGGGTCTTTGCCAATATTGTATCATCATTATCCAAAGTACACCAAATTGGAAGGTAAGTGTTTGATGGCTTTTCCGTTTGAAGTTGCCAGAGTTTGCCGATTGGAGTTTTAGAAAACTGATTGAAAATAATTGTGAAAGCCTTTTTTTTGTTTAAATTGGCATTTGAAAGGAGAAAATAGCCCTTTATTCCTTTGTGACTTTTTCTATTGAAATATCAATGGTAATATCCATTTAGGATCAAAAGGTCTTGTATAAGATTTCCACACTCACAACTTTACTTGAATAACTATTCTAATCCACATGGGTGCATACTGATATTCTATCAGTGGTTGAATCAAATGTAAAGTGATTCCCAGATTGCCAACAATCAAGTTCGAAAGATCAAAAGAGGAAAATAAATTTAGCAATATACCTAACCGAATTACGATTCAAGAAACATCAAACCTGGCAACAAATTTTCAAGTCTTGATAGGAAAATGACTCGCCCAAATACTGCTAGAGTGAGACAGTATTGCACTAGAGTGTGATTTTTTTTTGTATGTCTGGCACCTCTGAGAGAACTTGCTGTGTCCTGATCCATCTCTACATTGTTTCAACACCCAACACCCATTACTTTCTTTATATTTTAACCTGTCTAATTAAGAATATAAATTGATTTATTGCTATATTATTTTTTAGTGGACATGAAAAGATTTTTGCTAGACATCACTGGGGAAGTAGACACATTTGTTGGACTGATATGCACCACGGGGGATTTGCAAGAGACTGTATCTGTGATGGAGTTAAATCCGGAAAAGTTTGTTGTGTTCATGGGAACTGATGAGGTGAGTGTTTTGTCTTACCTACCTATCAGTCAATCAGTGAATATTTATTAAAACTTTGCTATATTATTTACATGATATGTGATGCTGTCTGTGTCCCACAGATAAATTTGAAAAGGACAACTTTAATTAATTAGAAAGAACCTGTATTAAGTTTATTGTCAAAAGTCAGAATGAACTATATATATCCTTAATAATTGGCCTCTCTCTTGAATCCCTATTTTAAAAATCAAAATACAACACTTTGTTTGGTTCCTATTTTCAATTACAGTAATTTGGAATAGATATTTCATATATGAGACATTTCCCTGTTGAACTTACACAGAATAATCACCTTACTAGGGTTTTTAACGTTGCTGGACAATGGGCCTGCATAATCCTCAGCTCCTGACCAATGAACGTGAGGAATATTATTATAACCCTCAACAAAAATGATACATTATGCTTTGCATAATTTTTTTAAATTAATTTCAAATGATTTTCACTCATTTACCTATATTCCTAAAAGCAGGAAAATATTCATACATTTATGTTTTTCAAATACATAAATCTTTATATTAAAATAAAACATTACCCATTTCTTTAAGTTATATAAATGTAGCCTATTATTAGCCTTTTTATGTTAATTTTAATAGTTTATTACAATGTTGCTTGTTTTTTTCTTAGGGAATGCTGGGTGCTGTAGCAAGTGGATTCACCTGTATAATGGGCAACAGTTTAAATATCCTGCCCAAACTTGCCGAATCAATATGTTCGTGTATGAAAAATTGCGAAATTAAGAGCGCGCAAGCTTCGCAAACGTTGTTAACCAGAGCGGTTACAAATATTCATAGTCACGGTAAGAATATTTTTTTAATTTTACGTCATATAAACAGTGGAAGGCGCTGGGTATTTCCTTAGACTCTGCTAATCACATTCCTCTTAATGAAACAAACCTAAAAAAAAATAAAATAATAATGAATGACCGAATGACCATCCGAAGGTTGAAAACACATATTTAAATACTTGTTAGAAGTATACAGAGTATTATTCCTCGTGTCGAAATAAATAGAGTAGTGAGTAAAAGTTATCTCTCTCAGACTATTTAAAATAAACTCTACAAACCAAAAAAATACTATGAAAATACCAGGCAAATTTTGGTTAGCAATACTTTTTGAAATACATATGGAAATTAACAATTAGACAACGCTATTAACATACAGTCAGTTTAGTTGACAAACTACAGTCGAGCAATGTAACAATAGAGTAGAAGCTATTCTCAAGTAGTAGGTGACCTAAGTCGGAGAAGCTTTATTGAGGAAAGTAATTTATTATAGAACAATGTTGCAAATAATCACTTAATGAATAACGACTTCTCTGGAGTTTAGGGAACCTTGTATTGGTGGTGTAAAAAGCTCCATATTATCATTCATGATTTCATGTGCTTACCTAATAAGACGTAAATCTCAATGAAATAGTAAGTAAAGCATCCTTCTGTGCCTGATTTCCTCCCTTAACTGCTTCACGTTTTTGTGAAAACCGTTAAATAAAATTCAAATTTTTCTACTGTTACTTTTTCTCAGACCTCATGGTGTTGTCTTCATATTTAGTGTTGATTGATTTTGATTAACTATTTTTGTGGTTCATAAATTCAACAGTTTGTAACTTATGGAAGCAAGCTGGTAATAATGTAATTTTTTTATAGGAGAGATGGTTCCTACCCTCAAAGCCGCCATGAGTATAATTACGAAACTTCCTATGGATACTGTAAGGGAACCTCTTCAGACTCTCTGGGAAGGTACTGTGTTAAAAATGAAGGAAAAGCTACGGGAAATCGGAATTATATAAGAAAATTATATATTTCAAACATACATACCTATATCAATGTTTATTGATCCAAATTTGTACATAAATATTTTTAATCGAATGGATACTACTTTATTTAAGTACATAATAGCCCTCGTGGATTGAACAACCAAACTTCAGAAGATAAAATGTGTTTTGAATCTTTTTTTAGAATTATTTTTTTCTAAGAGTGTAAAGTGAAACTGTATGCATCTAATAGTAATATACAACTTTTGTATAATGGATTTTGTTCTTATTAAGGATTTATGATCATAAGCAGGCGAATTTTGTGGTAGAGCAGCAACATTTTCCTAACTATACAGTGTGGTTATTTTAGTGTGCCACATATGGGGATTTTTTCCAATAAGAGCACAGCTGAAATACAAACAAGGTCAAAAGTTGGTGCATGTCTGTTAATCATATTAGGTGCACTTAGAATGGTTGCAAGTCGAACAGCATACAGGGTACCTCAAACAATATCAAAATTGTACTGTAAGTATCCTTATTTTAGAAAATTCAGCAAAATGTTATTGAGAAAAGTGGTTTGGAATTAAAAGTTATGCCTAAATACCAAAACATGGCCTCCTAAGATTTTTTTTTTTTTTTTTTTTTCGAAAAACATTAATAATTTCTATATTTTGTTTATTTTCTATTTCTGCTCTTAATACTTTCAAAAATTAATTAAAACCGAATCAATTTTTCAAAACTTTTTTCAAATTCAAGGATATTTGTGAAATTAACTTAGATTTTTAATTTTTTATGGAATCACAAAGTTGATGTTTGTTGCAATGATATTCAACACAACTTTAAAATGTCGCAATTTTTTTTTTTAACAAGTTAAAACATTACTAATGATAATATGCATATTAAAAAAACTCTCCTTGAAAGGTAATAGTTTTATTTAACATTTTGCTGAATTTTCTGAAATAAGGGTACTTTGCAGTACAATTTTGATATTTTTTGAGCTACCCTGTATGCTGTTTGACTTGCAACCATTCTAAGTGCACCTAATATGATTATCAGACATTCACCAACTTTTGGCCTTGTTTGTATTTTGGTTGCGCTGTTACTAAAAAGAATCCCATATGTTGCACACTTAAATAACGACACTGTATACCAGTAAGATCACAAAATTTCAGCTGTTCAAGATGTTCTTGGGATTATACAAGAGACTACGTTGCACTCCTTGATCATTGTACAACTCTTATTTTCAAGATCGAAAAGGTTACACGGAAAGAAATGCTTTGATAAAATGAATCAAATCCACTTATTGAAATAAGAAATACCATAATCTATGCCAAATAAATTAATTTAATCTAAAATGGAATAAAACAAGAAAAAAACTGACAGATATTAGCGTTTTAAGATTAATCTGCTAATTTCGCTTACGAGTAATAACATCAAATTGAAATTAATATCAATAGATACAATTTTCTTGTTTTTATGCTTAAACTGCTAAATCTCATCAATTTTTTTCTTGGGACATCAAAATTTAAATTGATTACAGAAAACGCTTTTCTTAAATCAATCAAACATTAAAAATCGAATTGATGTACCTCCCATGATTAATTTTTGCAAGAAATTTGCTCAAATTAACTCTTAGATTATATTATTTTAGCTGTATTTGATAATAGTTTAACTAAAGGATAATATCTGATTTATCAACAAGATCAATTTGAGAAATTGAGATTCCTAGTGTCTGGTAAAATAAGTTCTATCAAAGTTATCTCAACAAGCATCATAGTCAAATTTTTTACATATTTCACAGATCTATACATTTCCAAATCAAATCAATTAGGAATGAATTACTAGGTACATTGATTTAAAATATTTTAGGTTTCAACACAGAATAATATGGGCATTAATTTACTTTTGATCTATATGGTTTTGATGGGATCAATAAAATAAATGCTTAATATCTATGATATTTTAAATTAATGTATTCCTGTCTGGATTAATTTATTCATAGAATTTACTGAAATTTAGAAAACAGAAAAAAACAGTGAACTGAAAACAATCAAATATATAACTATTATTTATATCCAATTTTTGCTACGATTATCAAATATTTGACGAAATTAATAAAACTCTTCTAGAATCGAGCCATTATTTGGCTTAATCTATAATATAAGGAGTAAATCAAGCAAATACCTATAAGTTTTTCTAACGGTTTTGGCTACTTGAGTTATTTTTCATTTGAAAATATTTTAGTGTGTGGTGTTTTGTTGGAGGAAGAACGTCTCTCCTGTTTATGTGGAGTGCACGCCGCACTCGGTCCACAGAAAAAACTTGTCTAAGTTGTCTTTGTGTATTTTTTCGTACTCTCGCACCCGTACTCGTAGTGCCACGCAGTGCTAACTGGCAATAATAAATTATTGAGTTTTGTGAGTGATATTTGTGATATTTGTTTCTTTATGGGAGAGAAATTGAAATTTCCAGTAGAAATGAACATTTCATCTGTATTTTTGTAAAAAAAACCTACTAATAACATAGGGTGTTACGGAGTTTTGGAATTGTGTTTTTTATTTATATACAAGGAAATTTATATTTTTAATTTGGTTCCTGTAAGCTGATTAATTTGCTTTTACACTAAAGACTTATAGCCGTATGCAACATCATCTTTTAATTTTAAAAGCACTTTTAGCCTATTTTGTCACTTTTAAAAAAAATTATTCTTAAGCAATTGACTTTCAAAGTCGCTTTTAAAGTTGAAAGAGGATGTTGCATACGGCTGTTATTATTTTCTTATTATCTATAAACTATAAGGTATAAATTGTATTCCTTTTGAGAAGGTTATTTAGGTTAAGTTAATAGGAGATAATAATAATTTAGTATTCAACATTGTAAACGAATGCAGAATAAATAATAATTAAACCGAAATCTCATTTTATTGTTACTATTTTCCCACCACCACCGCTAATTACGAAAATCAATTGGCCAGCAATTAAATATTGAATGCACATAATCAAAAGATTTGATAAGTTGCACTCAATTATTAGATATATAACATCAAAATATTGCAAGAAGTAATCAAATTATTTGATAAATTTTATCCTAATTATTTGTCAATTTGCTATCTTTCGTCATATCTTTTTCTAAAATCAATCATATATTTAGCAAATATTATCTACAATCAACTTGAACTGATCCAAAAATTGCTTGATACTATTCAACACTTAGCTAAATTTAAGAATATATAAATTATATTCAGGAATATCCTAGACAAATTTAATTTTATTTTTGCTAATAATAATCAAATTTTGGTTGTTATTTATTGGAACTCATTTGCTGCTACTTATCATGGTTTGATATATTTTAGCAGATTTTAGCTTAACAAGTAAATCAATCCAATCATTTATCGATATTAATCTAAATTTAGATTGACGCTATATTGATCAAAAATTTGATTGTAATACTACCCTACTGGATTAATAGTATCCAAAATTTCTTTCCGTGTACTATCGTCTTTGGTCTTGACAAATATTTTGGAAATGTGTAGACAGTTTTGAATTTTGCAACCCTTTCAGATACCAAGAAATACTGTTCAAAAAATTAAAAACTGTTTCGGACTTTTTTTTACATTTTTCTAATGTAGAAAACTTCCATTTTGGCGTTTTTTTTTCCTCCAACAAATAATTGCAGCGAAATTACATAAACCTTTTTTACTGACTCCATGGTAAATGTGAATTATGCAGCTATAAAATTTGGGTTTCCTGTCGAATATAAGGATTGTCATTCAACTTTTATTATTCTGATAAAGTTTTGAGAAGACAAGCTGGCAGTCAATAAATTGATAGTTTCTGCTTACAATAGGTAAAAAATAGTAAAAGTCAGGGACTTTCCTCATATATTGACCCCCCACTACAGGAGTTATGTGAAGAGATATCAAAAAATTGTAACTACAAAAGTTTTGGGATTGTACCTGAAATTTTTGAATCCTATGTCAAAAACTTTTTTGTTTTTTTAGAAATGTCAAATTTTGACAGATGGTCAGTTTTTTCTTATGGAACACCTTATATATGACTTCATAGTTGGAAAGAGTCGAATTTTCTGATTTGAAATATATATGATTTTAACTACTTTTAATCAAGCCGTTTTGGAAATATCGGGTCTAAACTTCAAGAAAATAATACATTGAAACACATCAGCTCTGTTCCAACCAACATGAGAACCGTTCTAGAACGGTAATTTCCAGTCGCCCACCTATTTTTCAATCAATTGAACGTTTATCCTAATTGATCGATTGGAAATTACCGTTCTAGAACGGTTAACGGTTCTTATGTTGGTTGGCACGGTTGGAACAGAGCTGAATGTGTTTCAATGTATTATTTTCTTAAAGTTAAGAGCCCGATATTTCCAAAACGGCTCAATTAAAAGTAGTTACACTATATATATAAAATCATAAAAATCGACTCTTTTCAAAGTCATATTATAGGGTGTTCCATAAGAAAAAACTGACTGACCATCTGTCGAAATTTGACATTTATAAAAAAGCAAAAAGTTTTTGACATCGGATTCAAAAATTTCAAAACCCCAAAACTTTTGTATTTAAATTTTTTTGATATGTCTTTACATACCCCCGAAAGGGGGGGTTCAATATATGGGGTACAGGGTGTTTCAAGAACATCGAAACAGAGGCGATTTGGGGTATTTTAAGGTCGATTTAAAAAAATCGCTTGGACACGTCAATTTTGTATTCAAGGGGGAAAGTTTTAGACCCCATCGGTATTTCCCTAGGGTGCACCTCCTGGGTGGGGTAACTTTCACCCCTCTTTTTCAGATAGGGTAGATGGGTTGAGTGGTACTTTGTTTTGAAGGTACTGTCGTCAAAACTGCGTATTTTTTTTTGGAAAATGGAATAATTAGTTCTCGAGATATTCACTGTCATAGTTGCCATGGGCTGAATGAGAAACAATTTTCTGGTGCTGTTATTCTCAAATTAACACTTTTCTGACTTTTCTCTGGGACACGTCAATTTTAATTTTTTCAGTAGCACACTACCTCAATGGTAGCACACAACGCCTCTCTTTCAATGTTCGTGAAACACCCTGTATACTTTCCAATGAGACTTCAGTCATTATTAGACTGAGGGAGTTTAGTGTACAAAGAGACCATAAAAAAAACTCAAACCGTCCTTTTCATTCTGTGATTTGAATAAAAAATGTTTTGTTAATAAAGACAGTTAGTGGAACCGCGGAATCCTTGACAATTTGTTATTAGAAGCGAGATATTTAAA